TCAAGGCAAGGGTGGCACATTGCGGGAGGTTGGATGCCCACGATGGTGTCCCGGGGCAGCGCTGGTGCTGCAGAGGTCGAAGGACGGCGTGAACGGCGGTAGCAACTGGGGCGCTTAAAGGCGCGGTGCGCGGGAATCAGGCGTCGTGTGGGGACGACGATGGCACCAGACGAGGGGTATCGACGTAGCAGAAGGTGGCCCTTGGCAGCACGCGTACCGAGGGTGCGGAAGGCCGGTGGGAACAGCGGGAACGGCAGGGGCGGTAAATGGTGCAGTGCGCGGGAACCAGGCACCGTGCGCGGACGAGAACGGCACCAAAAGAGGGGGGAAAATGTCCCCGATGGTTCCCCGGGTCAGCTCTGGGTCTGGGGGACGCGGAAGGGCGGCGGGAACGGCGGGAACGGCATGCGCGGTAAATGGCGCCGCGTGCGGGAAGTAGGCGGTTTGCACGGTCAAGGGCGCCACCAAACGGAAGACTAGATGCCCCCAATGGTTCCCCGGAGCAGCGCTGGCGCAACGGAGGCAGAAGGGTGGCGGGAATGGCGGTAGCGGCTGGGGGCGGTAAAAGGCGTGGCGCACTGGAACCAGGCACCGTGCGGTGATGAGGGCAACACCAAACGACGAGTATGGAGCTCCCCAATGGTGACCCTAGGCGGCGCATGCACTGAGGGTGCGGAAGGCCGGTGGGAACGGCGGGAGTGGGGGGGGGGCGGTAAATGGCGCGGCGTGCGGGAACCAGGGGGCATGCGCAGTCGGGGGTGGATATCCCCAGTCGCGCCCGGGGCAGCGCTGGAGCTGCGGGTGCGGAACGGCGGCGGGAACGGCGGTAGCAGGGGGGGCGGCAAACGGCACGGCGCGCGGGAACCAGGGAGCATGCGCAGTCGGGGGCGGCACCAAACGAAGGGAATGGATATCCCCAATCGCGCCCGGGGAAGCGATGGAGCTGCGGGTGTGGAACGGCGGCGGGAACGGCGGAAAATGGCGTGGCGCGCAGGAACCTGGGGGTGGACGGGGGTCGGGGAGGGTGCCAAACGGGAGGGTAGATGTCCCCAATAGTGGCCCGGGGCAGCGCTGGAGCTGCGGGTGCAGAACAGCGGTGGGAACGGCGGTAGCGGCTGGGGGCGGAAAATGGCATGGCGCGCGGGAACCTGGGGGTGGCGGGGTCGGAGAGGGTGCCAAACGGGAGCGTAGATGTCCCCAATAGTGCCCCGGGGCAGCACTGGGGCTGCGGGTGCGGAAGGGCGGCGGGAACGGCGGTAGCGGCTGAGGGGGGTAAAAGGTGTGACGTGCTGGAACCAGGAGCCGGGCGGGGGCGAAGAGGCCATAAAATGGGAGGAGTTACTCCCAGGCAGTTGTGGTCCAAGTATCAGGCGAAGCGGAGGGGAAGGAGGGCTGCGAGGACGAAGGTGCTGCAGGGGGAGAAGCAAGAGTGAGTGATCCTAACAAAGATAAACACGCCGCCCTCACCAAATAGGGCATTTTGTACAACCGCGCATGGACTCGTGGGGGGTCAATGGCGCCATCCTCATGGGAGCCCTCAATAGCAACACTTATGCATGGGATCCCTCAATGACGGCCCTGCGCGAGCCCGCAGGCAGCCCCAGTACAGGAGGCAAGCAAAGGCGGAGCACAGCCACCCGCCAGCGACGCGCCCTACAGTGCCACTGCAACCCTTTTGGGTTAGTCTTTCCGCATATGGGCTAACCTGTAAGATAATATATCATGCAGATCTCTAAGCTACAGGCCATGATACATCATTGCACATCTCTAATCAGAGACTGGTGATATATCATTATACCACTATGTGCTGTCCCCCCACCACCCCTGGCTTCAAATACATCCAAAATTCCGCTGCCTGGCCTGAACTCTCCGCGCCTACGCTCAGGCGAACTGGAAGACACCTCTTGTGCACTCTTTCGAAGCGAAATGCTCCATATACACCTGAGCTAGGCGATACGTTGACCACCCAGCTGAAGAGTTGAGAAGAGACACAAGGAGACGGAGATTCCCAAGTATTCGGTGCGTGGACTATGCACTAGCCCCTTTGCTGTGTACCTAACTCTTGTAGATCCTCTCCGTGCTTGCCCTCCGCTTTTAGGCGCCAATCCGGGATACACGTTTCACCCACGTGCTAGCCTCTTGGCATTTCCTCGCCTCCGACTTCCTCCGCGTCATGTACTAGGAGCCATACATCCTGAATCATGCCGTCCCTCGGCATCTGCAGCACATCAGGCACCCGTCGCGTCCATATTCTCAGGAGGCAGCCATCCTTCAGGCCGCACCCATACGGGGAGCAACGGGGAGCAGCGGCTGCTACTGCGTGTGCTGCCGGGTCGCACTTCCATCTCCTTCGAGCGCGCAGAGCTGCGCGCAAAGGCGGACCGGAATACTGCGCAAGTATGCCGACACCGTTCGTCCGCAGCGCGCGAGCCCGTTATTGCGGCGCTCAAGCGGTAGGCACCTCGCCCCCGTGTAGGAACCGGTGTTCTACCGCCACCCTACAACGCAGCACGCCGGGCTCCATATACCACTCATCCCCGCCGTACTCGCGTCCCTGCACTGCCACTTTGTCCTCCGTCCACCTCTCCACCGCATCCGCGACACGCGTCGCTGCCGCCAGTCTGCGATGAGGCGCTCGAGCATTGGGCAGAGTGTCTCTATACGCGCGTGGTGTACCGGACGGCGCTACCCACAGCCACTCGATTACCCTGAGGGGCGACAGCAGCTACGGCCCGCACGTAAGAGCAGTGACGCCAGACGGAGGGCACCGGATACTGTATTATTTCATTCAATTCGACAGGAGAGGTGACGCGTGACATCCGGAACCTATTCGACACTTCGACACGGCCCAGGTTGGAGCGTGACAGCCCCCAAAAATTTGACATCGCCCCGAATTGATACAGGAATATCATGGAGTGGTCTGGTTCTTTTTGCGGAAGGACAAAAAGCCAGGCAGACATTGGTTTAAATTAATTGCTTTGGGATGGTTCCCCCAGTGATTTTGTTGAGTTTCGACTGATATGAAGCCAAAATTTACAAAAGATAATACATGTGGCCAGTTTAAATCCAGGAAATGCACAAGAGATTTATTTATAGCTTCTCACTGCTGAAAGACGCTTTTGTTAGAATTGCGTGACATCAAACCTATTCGACAACCCCCCTGTGATGCGTGACAACGAACCAAAGTTCGTAATCGACAACCCCCCCCACGTGTCACGTGACTGTCGAATTGAATAATACAGTACTGCGACTGTGCCTCTTGTCTGTCGTCGCTGGGAATCGGGCCGCCCCTGCACACGCACCATCGCTAGAGAGGCGGCACCGTGGACCCTGTATTTGGGACCGGCCCCCTGTTCCTCTGCGGTTGTAGAATGCGGCGATACGCTCGCAACGCCGGAAAAGGGCATGAACACCTTTGAGTAGAATTGTACAAGATGTATTCTATATCCTGAACCCCCAATTGATGATTTTTGCATGATTTTTGGCGGCCATTTTGTGCTCATCATCATGGGCAGCGCCGAGAGCTTTTGATGGCTGTCTTCCAAATGCGGCTATTTGAACTCGTCGCGCAGCACAGCGACGGAACCCAAAAGGCAATACTTTGATGAGGGCAAAATACCAGCTGGCTTGATATATCACAAGCGGTTGACGGACCGCTCCGCAGTCCGTCATCCTCTTTTCCAAATTCAGATCCACACAACAGCAGCAGCCTGTACATATGATTTTGACGCAGGAGTATGGTTGAAATGTGAACTATGGACTCACAGGTAGTCAAATTCCAGGCATTGTTGCCAGTGAAACTTCTATTTATGCTGCAAATTGTAGCATATCAGGCGTATGTGGGGATCTGGTATATCAGTTTCCGATGGCTTGCCGGAGGGTCACGATATATCAGGATCGACAGCTAGAGGAGGCCCCTGATATATCAGCTCAGTGTCCTTCTCGCCTAAGCACGCGTTTCGTAATATCAGCTGGTTTTCTCTTGGCGCGCCTCCCTCCGATTTCCCGCTCCTACTGCACCCGCGCTCGCCCGCCACACTTGGCGGCGCGCCACTCATCCAAATCCGGACATTGTTTACACAAGTTAATATCCCAGCTTCCTCTTTCCCCCTTTGCAGCTCGCGCTTCCCTGCACCGCTGGGGGCTCCTCGTGGGCCCGCTCTTCAGGAGCCGTGTCTCTCTCGTCGCATCTACGCTTACGCACCCTGTTCTTTCTTCCATTCCCATCCACTGGCGCGCTATCGCGCCCCCGCACCCCTGCCTCTCTGCACCTGAATCGCACCCAAAAGCTGGGCCCGGCCAGCACTTGGGCTTTCATAAATGGCCACCCCTACGAAACTCTCGCCCCTCATGCTCATCCTTTCACCGCGTTCATACGCCTCGTCGTTGCTTCGTCATCGATGCTGCGGCGGTCCGGCTCCGGTCCCGCCCCAGGCTCCTGCTAGGCCTGGCGAGCGCCATCCAGCACTGCGCTGTTTCCCCCCCCGTGCGCACCGCCTTCCTTTGCGTGCCGCATTCCCGCCCTTTGCGCGCTGCGTTCCCGCCCTTTGCACGCTGCGTTCCCGCCCCTTGCGCGCTGCGTTCCCGCCCCTTGCGCGCCCGGGCCCCCGCCCCTGCCCTTTGCGTACCCCTGCCTTGTGCACACCCCTGCCCTTTGCGCCCCGCGGCCGCCGCCCGCTCTTTCCGTGCCCTGCGCTTTTTTCCCGATATTTATGTACAGATCATCCGCGCCCCTCTCGCTCCTCCATGCTCCTCCTTCCAGCACGTCTATACACGTTTACCTTTTTCCGACTACTATTGACTTCATTTTGTCTTTCGGCGGACCCTGACTAAGCAACAAGCATGCGTCTCTTTCCACTAAGCAAGCGGCGAGATTCAGTCATCTTTCCTTTTTAATGAACACGAGGTTTTAAAAGAATTCAAGTGACAAAAATATTCAAGGCAGTCCTTTGTCTCAGGCAAACCGGCTGGTCTATTTCCTATTTTACTCTAGCCTTAACGCACTCGTGGCTCAGCTGGTTAGAGCGTCTGATAACAATTCTCGTGATATGTAACCAGCTACATCAGGAGATTGCCGGTTCGATTCCGGTCGAGTGCCTTTTTGATGTCCTCTTTAGAGGAAATTATTTTCGAGCCAAGTCCCACCAACAAAAAAAGACTAAGTCCCACACGACAAAAACACACAAGGTACACAAAATTTTCGAATGATTCTAACTACGCCACACGCGACAAAAACACACCAGGTAAACTAAACTAGGCACGGCACCATCCACGCTGGTTGAGCAGCAAGACAGCGGGCTGGTTGAGCAGCCGGCACGCACGTCATCAAATGCCGTTGAGGGCCTTCATCTCATGGGGCGCTAAGTGGATTTGCGAGCCCTGTGAATCCGACCGTGTTAGCCTGGTATACCCGAAATCGGAGTACGACATACCTCTTGGGCCGCGTCGATCCCTCCGCGGCAGTCTCACTTCCCGCCCCTCTCTTCCGCTTCCCCGCGTCCATCCGAGCGAGCAATGCCGCCTCGCTCGCGGCATGAGGATTCACCCGCGTGTTCTTGACCTGGCGCGTCGGCGCAGTCCCATCCATAAACAGTTTGGGTTTCCGGGCACGCGTCAAAATCACCGTCTCCGTCTCCCTGTTGGGATTCGGAGCGGTGTGCCAGCCCCTCGCCGCCTGTGCCAATAGCGCTGCCTGTGCCTCCGCCTTCTTGGCGACCTCCTTGGCCGCCAAGTCCCGCGCGCGACGCGTCTCCACCTTCCTGTTAAACGCCATGGTGTTATTACCAGGCATGCTGTAGATCAGCGTGGGCACTAACGGCAAAGCAGGCGCCGCCGACGCCGTACCCTCCACCTCCGCGTTCCCTTCCGCCACGACGCCCTCCGCCACGATCTTCCTTGGTCGCCCTCTCCCCCTCTTCGCTTTCTCCTCCACTCCCACCACCTTCTGCGCCATCGTCACTGCCGCCTGCTGCTTCTCTGCCGCCACCGTGCCCGCCTTCGGCTGGGCTGTTTTCTTGACCGCCACCCTCCCCACTTTCTTCACCGCCGCTGTGTCCTTCGCCGTGCCCTTCATCGTTGCGTCCATCCCCGCCGCCCACTTTTGCACGGTAGGCACCTTCGCCGGCGGCCGCGACCTCGGGAACTCGTCCACCTCGTCAACACCATCTAGAGTGATGTTGGTCGCCGTAACGATTGGGCTGACGGTGGGGGTTGACATGCCAACGGTGGTGGGTGCAATAACGGCGGTGGTGGGCGTCATAACGGGCGCGATAACGGGGGTCCTTGCGCCAGGAGTCGTCGTTGGTGCTATAACAGGAGTGGTCTTCGGTGGCGTTGGCTGGGTGATGATGCCGTACACCGCCCGCGCTGCCATGCTCGTGAACGTGCTGGGGCCGCACGCGGACGCTGCCGGCAGCGACCCAGGAGGCGGCGACTCCAGGGGGAAATTGTATCCGCCCACATTCGTTGTCTCCAATGCTCCTAGGGGCGCGTACGCGGCCCCTTTGTACGAGGGGCGGGGGATCGGGCGCAAGGTGAATGGCGCAACGGGTGCGGCGCTGGCAGACGGCGAGGATGGAGGCGAGAGCGACGCAGGTGACGAGGGGATGGGAGATGAGCTGCTTGGCAGCTCGAGCGTCATCGCGTCGAAGTCAAAGCCATCAAATAGGTGGGCCAGCGAGAAGGCATCAATTCCGCTGGGATCATCAGCAGAGACAGCGACAGCAGGCGTCAAAAACGGCGACGTCGGCGCCGTCGAGGGGGGGGTCGAGACCGGGGCCGTGGACGGGATGACCGCCACAGAGCCAAGAACGAGCGCTGGTGCGACGGGTGCAATGGCTAGAGGTGCGATTGCTGCACCAGCCGAATTCTTTTTGAGTTTGCGTACACGTTTGCGTTTCTTCACGGGGACCATGTCTGCGGGTGGACTAGGCTCTTCTACATCACCCTCCGCTGCTCGGGACGCCCCCCGCGCACTAGACTCCGGCTCGGGTCTGCTGGGCAAAGCCCGTGCTCGCTGTTCTTGGGCCGCTGTGCAAAAGTGAGTAATCTTTTCGAAGCTTGATCTAACGACCAGGCTTACTGAAAACCGCCCTGAGGTACTCCTCAAATGGCTCGGTGACGTTTTTGTCGAAATCCACACAAGAGTCTTCAAAGTCGTTCCCAGCGGGTGTTTCGCCAAAGCAGATGCTGAAGCCGTGGTAAGATAACACGACCACACAAAACCCCAAAATGGAACACTTACATCTTGTAGCTGAACTCGCCTCCTAACCTCGGGTTGGGCCCCCCCACAATCGTCATCCCAACCCAGCCCGCCGCGTTATGTGTGGCCTTGTGAACCTCCGCGAACACCGGCTCCAACGCGTCAATTCCACTAAGGATAATATTCAGCTCAGCTCTGCGACCAAAGCAAACCAAGTCTTACTCCTGGAGCTCCCAAACCGTGCACGCGTTAGGAACCGATGGGTCTAGATCTTCCTCTGCCTTCAACTCTGCCTCGCGGATCTCTACCCTCTCCGCCTCCACATCAGCCTCCACTGCCTCTATCTCCGTGTCGTCCGCCTCCACCCAAAGCGCCGTCACCACCCGGGTCCGCATCCGCATCCGCATTGACTTGAGGGCTTTGTTGCACGCACCCTCAGTGCCTGCCGCCTCGTTAGTCCAATCCATCTCGCCCAAGTTCTCCAATGTCAACTCGTTGTATCCCGCCTCCTTGAGAGCATCGTCAATAAGCGCGACGTTGCGGGTCTGGAACTGCTCAATCGGCTTGTGAGCGCGCCGGCGTCTTGGGGCGTTGATCTTGAAGATATTTCTGAAAAGCGCCGACGTCGAACGCGTCTGGGAAGCCGGAGTTGACGCGTTGCCGATTTTCTTCCTCTGGTTTCGGAACCAGTTTTCGAGTTGCTGCAGCTCCAATCAACTTAAGCAGGTAGGACAAGGCGGACGCGACTCACGGTTTTCTTGGTCTTGATAGCGACCCCCAGCAGCAAGAGTTCGATGTCCGTCAACGTGCGGGCGTTGGCGTCGCTGGGAATCGGCAACTGCAGAGCCCGCTCTTGGGGCCATTTATGGAACCACGCCTCGTACAAGCCCGGCCAGAAAAGGTGTAGTTTTCCTTCGCCTTGTCTGCGCATGAAGTTGTCCATCCAGCCCCGAAGCCAGGCCGTCTGTGCATCATCAGTCCAAGTTGGTGGTGCCATGTTCGCGTTATTCAAGGTGCAGGTGGTGATATACTGGGGCAGTAAAATGAGGGTAAGTGGGCGAACAAATTAGCTGATCAGCCTCTTATCCCAGTCGAACAAATATTCCGATCTTGGGCCAGGTATGCGTTTTATTTGCACGTTGCAAATTCTCTTCGTCGTCCAAACTATCAAATATTCCGATCTTGGCCAGGTATGTATTTTATTTTTACATTGCAAATTCTCTTCCTCGTCCAAACTATCCCTCCCTTCTTAGCGACATGCTCTGTTTTGGTTCGGTTTCAGCCATTTACGCGATTTCGCCCCCAATTTGGGCTGTAATGTTCCCACCGAATAAACCTCTTTTCTCCAAACCAAGGCCGCCTACCATTCCACATGGACCAAAGCCCCCGATATCTCATCATCATGGCCGCGATAGGCCGCCGCATAACCTCGTTTGGCAATGAGTCTTCTATCAAAGAAGCACATGGGCATCCATATCCGCTCCATCTCGCCTCGAGGGTCAGCTTGGGCCATTTATCATCTGAACCCTCAAGTCTCCCACTCGCGCCTTCCTTCCCCATCCCATGCACAACCCCACTGTCACCTCGACGACCGCCTCCACCCCTACCGAAGAGATGGACGCGCTCATCGTTCAAGTGGCGGACTTGTCCAAGCTCGCCCTCAAGATGACCCAGCACTGCATCGATTTGCATGGTAAGTCGCCCCGCCGCCGCAACAACGCTGTTTACTCACTCATGCACACAGACAACATCCCCCGCGTTGTGGTGATCCAAGTTGCTGCCAAGGTTGCGGCCGAGCTTGCCGCACTGGCTGACACTGCCGCCGCCCCCACCACTGCGGATAACCCTGGTAAGTATCCTCATTTGTATCTACGTTCATCTTCTAACGGCCTTCACGCAGCATCCGATGAGTTTGTTGAACTTCCCGCTCCCACCCCTGACGAGCTCGACGCCCTTTTCCCGATTGGAACTGGGGATTCTCAGGTGTGGCATGTTGTCTGCATTGGGCGCGAGCCGGGCTTGTATGCCAACCAGTGAGTTTATTCCTGTATCTACTCTCCGCACGTCACTCAACCTACCTCATCAGCATGGACGCCTACGACCAAATCACTGGCGTGCCCAACTCGTTCCGCATGAAGAAGTCCAGCCTGTGCGAGGCTCTCAACTTCTACCGCTGGAGGTACGCCCGCCAAGAGGTGAAGAAGCTCGTTGAGAGCCCCGGCCCAGCGGTACCTTTTCTTCTGTTCGCTACCGCCATTCTGATTTCTGGTCTAGCCGCAAATTTAATGTGCTCGTCTCAATAGTGTAGTGTACTCTTTCTTTTTCTTTGACCACTACAATTACTTTCAATAAATCTGCTGCCCGTTGCGTCTGGGCTTGTGTGTGTTCTCAATTTTCTATTGGATAACGATCACAAAATGACATTTCGTGTGTCTGACATCAATTCGTGTTATCATACACCATCTAATTTCGAATATGTTGTCCGGAGCAAGGTAGCTGAGCATGAGTAAGTGATGCAAACTCTAATCCTTTAGCCGTCGCGTCGATGCAACCCCTAACCTCCCCACATGCTGGTCTCTGTCAGTCTGGCAACAAGTTGACCCGTTGAATGCTCACCGTATGGCTATGTCGCAAAACTCCCAATAGACGGCCGCATCCCAGCCATTATCTTGTGCCCTCCCTACCTCACGTGCCCAGCCGGCAACCTCGTCCCAATGTTCCACTGATAGCATCCTCCGCGAGGGTGTCAAATCTCTCCCGCTCTGTTCCCAACCGAACGCCTGCGCAGTGGTGTGGTGGAACAAAGGGCCCGAATGCAATTGTTTTCCGGAGAGTCTGGACCCACGTCGACTCATGGCTGAATCGGGCCCCGGTCGGTCTTGTGGCAACAGGCACTG